GTTGTTGTTGTTGTTGTTGTTGTTGTTGTTGTTGTTGTTGTTGTTGTTTTGCCCCCTTGAATTGGAGGTCCGAACGGACGTGCCTTTTGATCGACCTGCGCAAGCTTGCCGTGCCAGGTCGATCGGACTTGGTGCGGAGTCCCCGGAACTCCACGCGTCGTCGCTCCGGAGTCGTGGAGTTCGCCGTGGTGTTGGGACGACCCGACGATGACGACCCGACGATGACTGTTGGGTCGTGGAGTTGGTGAAAAGAGTGGAGTTGGTGTAATGCATGGTTCGCCGAGTTGAAGAGTGGAGATGAGGGTCAAGGGTTGGGTGTAAAAGACCCAGGCCAGGCCAGGCATGGGGGGCAGGTGAGTTTCGCCGAGTTCGGGACCTGGGGCCCGAGGATTGGAAGAGAAGAACAGAGCATCTACACTCCGAAGAATCATAGAAGTGGACTTTCACCGGTTTGTAGAGGAACGTTGTAACATGGTCATCCGAACTTGCCATCACGTAATTAAACATGACCATTCCAGAGAGAGTCTGTGTATGATGGTTTGTGATGGATGTCTCCTGGTTGGTTAGCTGGCGGTCACAGACCTCGGAAAGCTTGAAAGTCAAAAACTGTCTCCTGGTTGGTTCAGACTAGAAAGAGTAATTGAGGAATGAGGCTATCTCGCCTGACCAATCCCAAGAGGTTCTGAGGAACCTCCAGAGATTCTGGATCTTGTGACTAACCTTCGCTGGTGGATGGTAGCGGCACTGGGAATGACTTTATGGCTGTGAGGCTTCACTTTGCCCATCCCACCGGCTCATTCGAATGACCAAATGAACCTTCGCACAGAACGGCCACCAGCAAGTAGTCTCGTTGTTCGGAACGGACTGCCACAGGGTCCCACTCTCGGAATTTTCAGGATGAGGAGTCTATAGTGGGCCCACTGGCTATCCTGTCCAAGATCTTTGGGAAATCCTGACACCAGAATCAGCAGAGTTATACTCCCTGAAATAAGCATGGAAGTGGAAAACCACCTGTCCGTAGAGTAAGATGATCATCCAAGGGGCCATATTCCACTTCCATGTTTATTTCGAGGAGTGTAATCAATTCTTGTGGTGCAATTCCTCTCGTGCTTTTTTGCATGCTCACTCTAGTGGTACAGTGGCCATGGGAGAAACTCAAGATTGAGGCCATGAAACTAGGTTTAGTGGAATGCCAGGGTCTACGTTCTCCAGCTTGACAAGGGGGCGCATGAAAAACCACCGGGTTCAGCCATATCCATATCGACGGATGTCGGTATTTGCCTTGAAGCATTGAAGCATGTACTTGAAGCATCTTGAAGCAAACATGTATTCACCATTATTCACCATGCAGCCACAATCACCGTACCCTGCGGTGTTCTTGGGTCGTCACCCCGCGGTTTTGTGAGTCTGCTTGGCAATCCACCAGCTGACACTTGTAGACAACATGTATATACATAATTATACATACACCCTGGAAGACTAACATGGAAGTGGAGAATGGCCCCTTGGAAGACGATTTTCCACTACAAACAGGTGGTTTTCCACTTCCATGTTAGTTTTCGGGAGTGTACCAGCTCCCTCCAACAGGCTGTTTGGAGGCCCTAACAGGTGGTTTCTGGACACCTGTTGTCACCAGGAAACACCTGTTGGAGGGTGCTGGTAGACTTCTGTTTGCTTTTTGGAAGCTTTACAGTAGCTTGATGGTGGGGGCCAAGGATGGCAAGTCGGTGAGAGCCCCTTTCTGTGTCTTTATAACACGTTGATAGCCCCCACAAAGGACGCCGACTCCACGCGATGCCCGCGGTTAGTGGTTGAGGAGTCACCGATGACGGTGCAATCCGTTTCAGGCGGGATGGGGCGACACGGGACGAGGTGCAGGGGCGAGGTGCAGGTGGTTTTTGCATTGTTGACATTCATCGTTTAACATGAAGTAGATGGTCGGCCCAAGCACTCTTAGGGGACCCAAATGGCCATAATTCGAGTTGTGGGTGGGCGTGGCGATGATTCTTAGCGCGAAAGCAATCCAAAAGCTGAGCGACGGGGAATCTTAGTTGGTGATCCATAAGCAGGGCGATCTGGCAGAGTCTTGAATAGAATGTCAAATGTTTTAGACTTTGGATGACAGATGACATTGGTATGTTTTCTTGGACAGTGAAATTTGTATGCAGATTCTATAGTGTATGTCAGATGGCGTCATTTGCCGTAGATGGTGTTCACGAGCAGAGCAGCATCGGATGAGATCAGCTGATCTGATCGCACCGTGTTTGATGGAGATATTTAGATATGATGAAGCGAGCTGCGGTAGTGGACTGCAGTCAAACCCTTGGATTCCTCCATTGTGAATGTTGAATATGTGAATATCATCAGCACACTAGGAAAGAACCCTCTAAAGAAGCCTTTTAAAGAAGAGAAACGACCACCAGCCCCAGCCCATCTGTGGCACGAACCGATCTCGTGGCCTCGTGGCTTTTCAGGCGACCGGGATGACTCCACCGTGTGTCCCAGCGAGACCGATGGCCACCCGGGCGGTGAAGAAGCGCCGAGCAAGCGAGATCGACTGGACCGGGGTGAAAAGGGCTTCGAGGTATGAGACTGGTTACAGGTATGATGTGACGGTCGACTGGTCGTTTTGGTTCATTTGGGAAAAGCACCAGAAACAACAAACAATATCAAACAATTGGACCAATTGCAGCTATCAACAGATGGTTTCTGTTGTAGAAGGTCTTCTTGAATGGGTAACGTATGTGTCAGCTTCTACATCCGGCACGGAGCAAGAGTGAGTAGGTCGGTGATTCAGACACTTTAGACAACAACATGGTGAGGATTTATTTTCCACGGTGTTGGACCAGTGTTGGAGTTAGACAACCTGTGTTTTTTCACTGAAAAGCTTGTTGGAGTGATTTGACAAGCTTGTTGGAGTTGAGCTTATGCGGTTGTTAGGCTAAGGAAGGGGGGTCACTACAGGTCCACAGGTCGTGTTCACCTACGCACGGTGCCCAGGGGTGGGCCTATTTTTAGGGGAAACGGTGAGGGAAAGAAACTGCAGATGTCAACCCAAAGCAAACGAATAACATTGTAAGACTAAAAATTCTACATACAACACGTTACAACACGATGTGAAATATTCAATGCAACACCCGGAAAGTATCAACAACTATAACTATAACTATGATTATATCAGGGGCCTCACAACCATGAAAAAACAAAGATTTTCACATACAAAAACCATGTTTTTTGCTAGGGAAAACAAGGTTTTTTGATGGTTAGTGGGGCCCCTGGTATGATTAATTATGCATTTGTTACTTTGTCGTGTTGCTAGTTACCGCCTTTGTATGTAGCAGTTGTCGTGTCGTCGCTTCGGTGAAGCAGGATTTAGTTGCGAAATCGGAGGGTGCTGGACTTGTCGACTTGTTTCTACTCGTCATGTCGTTTCAATCTGCTAGTAGTAGTAGTAGTAGTAGTAGTAGTTGTTGTTGTTGTTGTTCCGAACTGGCATGTTGATCCCGTTCTGATCAACCACAACCGTTTCGCAAACCATGTGGGGTACGTTGGGGTGGTCCGTTTCCTGCGGAGAACGGGATGTGGTCCTTTTTTCGTTCCTTTTTCTGCGATTGGTATCGCACAGTGCGATGGACCGTGCTTTCTCCACAGCCAAGACAAGCAACCAATTTGATATAATTTGATCCATATTTGTATCATTTCATTTTTTCATGTCATTTCATTGTATGCGAAACGCCCTCGAGAGGGCTCAAGATGTCTAGCAAATGAATTCTGAAATACCGGACAAGAAGTCTGGCCTCGGCTCCATATTTGTATCAGAGAAACTCAGAAAAGGTGCATGCAAGATTCAGTTATTGCACCACCACTACACTCTTTGGAACGACGAGAGGCCTCTAAAGTCTAAAGTCCGGCACAGGCCTCTTGCTTCCAAACTGGCTACAATCTGAACGTTTGAAGAGTGTGTCAGGGAGCATGAACTGGAACCTGAACCTCAAAAAAATACCTGAACCATTCAACGTGATTCTTTGGATGCGGTCAGTAGGGTTTCACATGCTTTCAACATGCTTCCACAGGTCACCATCATACAAAACGCACCAAACCGGATAGTGACGCAACGGATTTTCCCTGGACCTGAAAGCCCACTGGACCAGGTCCGTACATCCCAGACACGACTAATGGGACTGTCGCCCCAGACCCTTTTCAACCACCCGTGTCTGTATGTAAATACCCTAGGGCTCCAACCACCTCCGTTTCGAAGGTGGTTGGGGTGGGTTTTGGGTGTCCAACCACCTTCTGAGGATATGGGCCAGGAGCCCTAGGGATATGCCGGTCCCATGGGTTCTGCTCCTTTTCGGTGGTCAACCAGTCCACTGGCCTTGTGTTTTGTGACCAAGGCGTCGAAGTGGAGCGCACTGAATGGGACCCGACCTGGGGGGGGCAAGGATAGGGAGAGATGCGAAGGGTCAAAATCCGAACTAAACATGAAAACACACACAGAATGTATCCAGAAGGTTGACAGTTGATGAACCAAGTCCCCTGTTGTTTTTCTGCAGAAGGTTTCGCCCCGTAGACTTGAGCTCTCCAGCCCATGGGGGAATTCTTTTTTATCCAGTCAGCAGTGAAGGCCTCCCTCGAAGAGTGGTCTCATATGCTTTCATGCTTGTTTGTACTTGTTTTTTTCTAAGGATGGACATGGTGGAAAACCTGTCGGTGAAACTGAACAGAACCGTCAAGCTGTCGGGGCTTTTGTGTTTGCCCCGAACGGACCGAGTGCGTGCAATGCTGCTATAGTGCCACAAGCGATACCGGCTCCGCGACGTTGAACGGGTTGAAGGTCATGGAGGTCATGGGACACGAGGCAACGACCCCCTGGCCCTGGAGACCGGAGACTGGTCTATGTCCTGAACCTTCCAGGGTGTCGTTGCCTGGGAGGTCTCCCTATTTGAGCTACACACCCCATTGTCATGGACCCAAACAACTTCCTCAGGAAAGTCTCTCATCATATTTTTTCTGCACTCGACAGGCCACTTCGACACGCAGGTGGATGTGTTTTTTCCATGTGTTTGTTTTTCCATTTTTTCCCGCTACCCGGTTGGCCTATCTTCATGATTCAGGGTCCAGTTCAAATTCAATTCGCTTTGATCGTAGAGTTGGAGGCGTTCTGAGCTTGGCGCATAGTGATGGGCCAGCAGAAGACCATGTAACATACAGGAATCCCACAGACATTAGCCGAAGCCTGTATGGTCAAACCAACATGGGACCTTCCTGTATGATGAAATATGATCTGTTTTGCACTCAAAGTGGCTTCGTCGGAGGAAAGCTCCGCTCCATCCGGGGAAAGTTGGGATCTTCCTGTTCCTTTATATATCCCAGACACTCCATGTATGCCATATATGCCTACATTGACCCCCCCAAACCACCCCAACTGATCGGCATATATGGCATACATGGAGTGTCGGGGTATGAAGACATTGACGGCGTGTAAGATCCGAATGTGAAAGCCCATCTCTCCATGGGAGTGAAACGAACAACCCCTGCCTGCCTAATTGGAACCCTAAAGCCAGTGGTGGTTCAAATATGTCAGATGTGTTTATTTTCAGAATCCTCCATTGCTAAAACATAGTAGAGCAGGTCACAGACAAGACGATCGGCTAAGTGAACTAGTGCCGAAAGATTCTTGTCCCTACATGTTAGTTAGGTGGATATCAAATCACCTGTAGAACTTTCTCTCAGTCAGCCAGTCACAACCAGTCTAAAGTCTGAAAGTGTTCGACATCCATCCGGGTGCATTTGTTCAATGGAATCAGACTCATCGGCAGGACTTCTCTCCTGAGGACTGCTCGGCTTCGCCAGTTTCGGTGCATGGAGGATCCGTGTCCGGCTGAGGAGTCACGCTGATGGATCCAGCATCAGCTTGGAAAGCATGAACACATACAGATACTCAGTAGATGTCAGGTGATTGTGGGTGTATGCATTAGTAGTTCACCTGGGTGAGGAAGTAAGGTATGAAGCAAGTTGAAAGACGCTTCCTTAGTGTTTTGCTGTACATCGAATTGTTTATTTGCCTGTTGCTGAGCTACCTCGAGGAATGGAATGACAGCAAACTACTTCCCGCACATGTTCTCAACCATCCTTGTAAAGGAGTGTCCATTGAGGTCAAGCAAACGCGTTGAACATTGCATTTGTTGTGTGCATAAGGAAACAAAATACATGAATAATCATGAATACTAATTCGCTGATCTCTTCTCTCCAGACATAATTGTTTGATATTGTTTGACACGTACTAATCCCTTGCCCCGATATCCTCCGCGATTGCACCACTGAATCAGGCCTTCTAAGAACCAGACTGCTTTCAGGAAAGGCTTGCTTGTTCTCTGTAGAACCAGTGCTTGGGAAAAGATCACTCGCTGACGAAGAAAGCCCATCCGGCGCCATGCGGTATGAGTACACTCCGACGAACACCACACCTCACACGGACCCACGTGGAGTTCACCCAGTTCACCCCCCTCCTTCGTAAAGGAAAGGGGGGCGTCTTCCGAGATCGGGACCATGGTATCACGGTATCCACTTCCAAACCCTAAACTCGCTTCATATGTTATCAGCCCGTGAATGACAACACTAAACCCTAAACCCTAAACCTGTGATGTGTTCGAACTGGAGTCGGTCCTCCTCACCGATTCGCTTCACGTTGGGCCCTGCTGAGCCACCGCACTCGCCCTCGCCGCTCCATCAGGAGGTGTGCCGTCAGCGGGTGGTGGAGGTCCCGGACCCAGCAGATCACCTGAGTGGATGTGACCTGAGCAAACTGACCCACACCCTAACTTGTCAAAGGTATGTGGTCCGGTAAGATAGAAAGATTCCCAAGTTCATGCGAGCTGAGTTTTTTGACCTGCGGTGGCTGGTGGGCGTAGGCTTTTGTGGGGGATATCTTCGCGTAGGCTTCTTGCATAGGCACACCATGGCACACCTTTTCGCTTGAATATGTGTGTTTGTCATGGTTGCAGTGTCTTGCTGGGACAGAGGCTCAGTTCAGAGGCAGCAATGAACAAGATCCAGATATTGCACACATGCAAGAAAACATGCAGATAGTAATTGTTTGAAACCGGCTTGAGTCAAGGTTTCCAGAATGGTCAATTACTTTAGCTCGATGCGAGCTGCTACTGTTCTATTCAGTGCGACTCTTTCGATGAGTTGATCAATAGCAGGGGAACATCCATGTGAGGTGAGCGATGGTCCAACGAAGTGGCCACAGTACATGCGGATAGCACGGCTGATCACCGTGACATACCTCCAGTTCAGGTCCTTTTGCACTAGTGGGCTGATGCAGGAGCTAGATGGTAGAGTGTTGATGAACTTTTGGAACTTCCCGGAGTTGTGCTCATCCCAGCTCTTTCTCAAGTGTGCGTGTTGCTTCACAAAACACAGGTTGCCTTGATGCTGCCCGTGAATCACAACACTCCACACAAGTCACACAAGGGAAAAACTCTCTTCATGTGTTATCAGACGTGTTTCCTCGTGATCAGGAGTCTTTGGTAGCTTTTCACATGTTAAGACAAGCCAGGGACAGTCAAGCTCTGCCTGGGGGATCATAGCGTGTTGCTTCGTGTTCGAAAGTGCTAAGGATCGTGCTGAGGACCAATCAGGTCATATTAAATCTGACTGTGGTAAATATATACAAGTGCTTGCTTCCTGCGCATCTACCAGATTGGCATGTGGTTCATTGGGTGTTTCCATATGTCTTTTGGTGTTTCCAGACTGCTAGCGTCTTGTCTTCGGAAGGTTTCCACCCTTGGGCGGCTTCGTGATGGAGAGATGGCGGGTCCAAATCCAGAACTCAATCTGGGTGTGTATTTACTGTAATACAGAGACCCCTGGGCCCAGTCATGGTCGATTCGGAAGGTCTTCCATTTTATTGCACACCCTCATGAATATATACTCAACAGTTAGGTGCCAACGCTTTTGAAACATGACATAGGACTCAACCTACCTTCATGGTAGTTTGGGTCTTCGCTCCCTCAAACTAATTATGTATTATATATATACACACCTTTGGTGGACCCTTGTTGGATGTATGACGTACTCATTAAAGTCAGGATTACCACCTCCTGACGCCTAAGAAATGTATTTTTCTCTCCGCATCAACCACTAGCAAGTTTTTTCAGTGGGTGAAACGGCAAGCATGTCAACAGTAGGATAAATGTCCGACATGATAACTGGGAACTGAGACAAGCATATTAAATCATATTTATTAATAACTAACATTATGTCAAGGTAAACCTATTACTACTATGTGTGTTTTTGTTGCGATTGCATCTTGAGTTCCGTTGAAATGGACAGCTGAGCCCTGCCGCTCAGGATGATGTGCTCGTGGAAGAGGTGCCTGGTGCGTTGAGCTGGAGTTAGCTTTAGACTCCCGGGAATCATCGTAGAAGTGGAAAACGACCTATTTGCAGGAGAAGATGGTCATCCACAGGAGAAGATGGTCATCCACGTGGCATTGTCCATTTCCATCATGGTTCCAAAAGGAGTGTATTCTTCAACTTATTTCCACTGCCTTACCTGGCCGTGGCATTTTACCCAAACTTGAACACCTCGCGCTATGCTTCCACGTTTTGGGTTGCTTTCCTTGGTCTAGCCTTCCCCTCCTGATGACAGTTGGAGGGGTCGGGTCATCCACAATTGTTATCGGGCTGAGTAGTGTCCAAACCCAAAGATGCCGTTCCGGATGCTGGCCGATCCGGATGCTGGGTAGATGGCACAAACTTGCCAAATGGTTTCATGATATTTCACGATGTTTCATGTTCTGTCAATATCAAATCTCAACAAACAGCTGAGAAGGGTGCAAGGATGTGCAAGGCGAGAACATACAGCTGAGTGCCCATGTGATTCCGATCCTTCAGCCTGGTCCACCTCACGTTGAGCCTGCGCCACGTTGGTCCAACTTCTGCCTGGTATTCCCAGTGCAGAGTCCACTGTGAGGGATCCTCTACTATAGAGCTAGGGTGTGTCCCATTGCCAGTCACAGTCGGTAACAAATCACTACTTTGGGGAAAGGCCTGTACGTACCATCATCATCATCATCATCATCATCATCTTCATCATCATCATCTAGCCACTGCTATACTCGTAATGGGATATACCCAAAGTAGAACCCGTTGTTGAAATCACTTGTTTGTGATTTCGCGGTCGACCTTCCCAAACATCCACTTGAATTTGATCGATGTTTGATGTTTCCAATTGACATATCAAATTTATGAACATATTTAGACATACATGCTAACCCCCCAGTATGTATATACATATGCACAACATATATAGGAACCATTGGCAATAAAGTTGAATGGTTGATGCTTGACGGTTCATACCTCATAGTTTCCTTGAACAGCATGCGATCATGGTTTGGTCACCTGCAACTAGAAACAGAGAATTGCCTGTTGTATCTAGTGACTCTAGTTGGGATAGTTTTTTGGCACCAACAATAACTTTGGGCCTCTCTTTGCGTAGACCATATCCTCAGTTTTACACCAAACGTGAAAACCCGATTGCTCCGTCGATGAGACTACCGATTCCGTTTACCCGTTGATGCGTCGCAGTCGGAGAGCTCTCAAGCTTCTATGCCGACAACAGATTGGTGCACCAGAAGAAGCTGAATGCCACCCCACTCAACACTCCAAAGGGTTTTGTAATCCCCCGCAGGGTTGCCTACTATGTTTGTTTGCAAAGATTTTATCAATCCTTTCCTTATCATAATCAACTTTATCACCTGTTCCAATCCTGCTTTACCCCAGCAAGGAAAGATGCCACTACACAACATTATAGTAGATATATTTATATATATACTTTATGTTCTAAATGATTTACATTATGAAACCAGAAACTGAAGTTCCAATTGTAGAACCTATCAATGTATTTCATTCTGTTCTTGTCTATGTCATTCGATTGCGGAGATGGCTGCGCGGATGCCATTTCCATGGTTGAGTTTTACTTTAACTTATGATGTATTCTTTTGGAGTCGTTGTATTCTTTCAAGTAATGCATTCAAATCTTTTCTGTGGATCGAGAGGGGGGGGGCCCGCCCCAAAGAGATGGGGGGCGGCCAAAAGGTTTTTATTCTTTGCCGACGAAAACCCCGAAAACCTGCTAGTCTTACTTATATTTCATAGATTGGTTTAAATACCGTTTGAATTGTTTGGTTTGAAATATAGAATGTAAATTGTGTTTTCCTGCATGTCTTGAACAGATGTGTTTAATATGCATGTGTTTATATACTAATTATTTTGTCGTGCTATGTGTTTTTGATGTTTTGCTGAATGTCGAATGTCTGTGTTTTCACCATATCTTCAGTTCTTTTAAATCACAGTTTTATTGTGCTTCCGGGACGCCCGTGGTCCCCTGTTCTGAAAAACATTGGGGTTTGTGATGGTTTGTGCCATCTACTCTGTCCCCCTGGTTTGAGGTGCAGCAAATCTGGTGTCCAAAAAACAATCTTTGGCTTCGTCCAAAGACTCGTGATATAGTGACTCGAAATTCCACCCATCGAATTCCATTGAAGCTTTCCTTCCCAACTCCGCTCGCGCCGCGCGCCGCCAGTTCATTCCTCCGTCCAACTCGATCCAATGCAACCTATGCCCGGAGACCTGACCCGGAGGCTTGATGAGACCCGATGAGACCCACCATCGTTGGCGAAAAAGGTTTGGTTGAGGGGCATACCCCAAACAATAGTAGAACCAATAAGTAGGTACCCTCCAAAAAGGATGGAAGTGGACAACTGGACAACCCCCTGTTTGGATCTCCAAGCTGAGTAAAATCGAGGACATTCTCTACCACATCCGTGGCGAGACTCGGACCTTGAGTGGTTCTGGTTTTCGAGCCTACAATCGAGACTTATACAGCCCACCGACTTGCTGCAACCTTTGACAGTTTCATGCAGTTGCTTGTCTCGTTCATCCTGAAGTTTGCTTGTCTCACAGAACGACCTCCGCATGCCGACCTCTTCGCGAGCCGGTGAGGCCACCACGACGTGGTTCCGACCGATCTTTCTATCCTTTTCGGTCGACCTCCGCATGCCGACCGGGTCGACCATGCCGAGCTCCGGTTCGGACCTACGCAGGTGTCTTCCACCATCGCCTCGTATCGAATCACCACAATGTTTCAACTCTAAATCATGACATGAGTGGAATCCAGGCATGGAATAGAGGAGAAGAGTAGCCCATGAAGTATCGGAGCCACTGGGCAGGACGCACATGATTCCTGCCCCGGAAGCTTCTGAAATCGACCCCGCACCGGAAAAAAAAAGGCACATAGATGTGAGTGGAGATGAGGAGCACATGGATCAACCAATGATGCAGACCAGGGTCATCCTGTCTGGGTGTCCTGGCGTTCGACTACCGTAAACCCTTTTTTTTCGCTACAGGTCGAAACAGACAGGGCAGGAAGGACAGGAAGTGCTAGGTATATGATATGTGTTCTTTTTGCTTCGTTGCTTCCGGCGACCGGTTGCTTCGGACCGTCCTTGAGACCCCCATGTAAGTGAGTGAAAGGTCACCAAGTTCGAGGCTTCGGTCACAGGAAGTACGAGACACCGGTCCCACTGGTTCTGAAGGACACCAAACCTGTGAAGGTTCTGGTGTTTCGGGTGACACGTGGTGGCGGACGAAGAAGCACGCGCAATGGAAGATGAAATATGGTAACCTGAAATCCACTGGGACGTAGAGGAAAATTGCTGTTCAATCGTCTATATATGTTCAGGTCCTTTATTCATGCAGAACCATTCTCCGTAGGACTGCCTCGCAGGTGCGCGCAAGACATGGCAATTTGTTCCAGTGTTGGGACACTGAAGGAGGAGACGGATGAACACCCAGATTGGGGGGGACGGTTGGGTCCAATCTGTAGTCAATTGGATGATATAATCAATACTATAGTTTCATACAATGATGATTGTTGATCAATCAGACTCTCCTTGTATCGAGATGTTTGACAAACCAGGTAGGCCGGGGGCTTTATTTCAACATGATGTCCATGTGTGTTTTCTGAGTCACGTCATGTTGAACACGACGAACTCGTTCCTCGTGCGACTGAGGCAGCTTGATCGACTGCTTCCGGCTGAGGTGACCAGGGAGTCATGGGAAGTCATGGGGAGTCGTGAGTCATGGGGGAGTCCGTGACCAAGACGCACTCTCAAACGATGTGAGGGTGTACCGGGTGACGATTTTTAAGAATTGATTCAAACATCAAAAGGCAATAGCCAATAGCAATGAGATGTGAGATGTTCCAATCCTATGAAGCTCCGAATCAGCTTGAGGCAAGATGTCACGGTGTTTGAAATGCACGTAATTGACCCCCCCAAACCACCCGAATGCCATACATGGAGTGTCTGGGTATTCTTTTCAAGGGCAGTGCTGGATGCATCACCGCCGGTGCATTACCGAGTGAAATGGATCTCTGGTCGGACAGCTCGGTGAAGGGCTGAATTGGGTTTGGCAGTCGTGTGCTCGGATGAAATCCCTGAGGTTTTTCCAGGGAGCCTGCACAGTAACTGTGCAGAACTGATGGTTGATACCAAAACCCTGTGAAGCAACAAGCATGACGGTGCAAAAGCACCCGACTTGGGGGCTGCATTGTGGTTGTCTTCCAAACTGTTGAGCTGCAGACAGAGATTTCAAGGATCCGCTCGTTGTTCAATATTCACCAAGCAATATGTGTGTACACCTCTATTGTTGTTGGAACCTTAGTAATTACTTCACACATCATCTCAACCACAAATCCCTCGAATCCCACCACCCCACTGTCCAGGCCCAGCACTTCGTCCGTTCCCTCCAGTGCTGCCGCTGTTAACAGCGCCGACGACAACGAAATGCTGTTCAGCAACGGCCGCGCAGAGGCGCGTGCGCAGCTTGCGCCGTTCGCAGCGACGTTCGGGATAACTTCCGATTTCGGGAGCACCGATTTTCCCAGGGGTAGAGGCTCAGTTCGGATGGATGGGCAAGACTAACGGCATATTGAATGGAGATTTGTATTGCATTTCAAACATGTTATATAGGGGTAGAGATGACTCAATTCAATTCTATACTGGTTCCGCTTTGAAGGATTTGCATCTGAAACCAGTGAAGATTACTGTATCTTATTGCGAAGGTCCAACGGTGGAGTTCCCAATTGTTCCCCAGTGTTCCCCAAATACTTTGTTCTCCTGTTCTCCGAACACATCTGTGGACCATCAGGGGCGGACCAATGGAGTTTGAATGCTTTAGACTTTCGGATGAAAGGGAGATTCACCACACTCATCTCCCAAGAGCGGCCATCTCTGATGATGAGTGACTTACGTACCATATCCGACCAAATGGCGGAAAAGGATGGGAAACAGGAACGAACATGTCACTGATGGGTGTTGAAAGAAGAAGGATGAACATGGATGAATATTGATGAATATTGCAACTAACCAACGTGCAAATGCCAATGTCTCAAGTTCAACATTTGTTTGGCCATGGGTCTCACCTTTTGAGAGATTCCCTGCAAGAGTTCCACTCCCTCCCTGGAAGTGTGCACCACCTGTTTGGTCTTTGGATAACTCATGGTCATCCTTGTCTTCCGAGCCATCCACGTCACCTGACGACGCACGGTGCAGCGCCACTCCTCAGGAGGTGCTCCCGGTGAGCACGTCTCCCAGGCGCAGGCAGGCGGTGCGAAACGGACTGGACGATGGGCCAAGGGGCTGCAAGTCATCAGCAAGTCTCAGGTTTACGAGTTAGGAGCCCAGGATCATGCTGAGGACGTGGCTTGCGGCTCCAGTTTCACACTCCGAACAAGATGAATCAATCAACAAACCCTGGGGATCCCGATGTATTTGGAGCAGATTGTAGACTCTTTGGGGCATTCGTTTGTGTATATTCCCGAGAGACGCCACTTTTAACATGTGAAAGTTTGACAACAGGTTTGTGACCGGGGACTACGTAGCCAGGTTGCACATCTCGATTTGACTCAACTCTGGGAATCCTACTGAAATGTTGCGATTTGATCGTTTCCTTAAAAGGTTCAAGCGCCGTCAACGGCCGATTGGTTCTCTGATGACCACCGGCCGGGCTTGGCTTGGCTCGTGGAAAAGTGAGGGACCTGAAAGACGACGGTGGTATTCAAGCTGCACTCTGGTTGAGGCAGGCGCATGGCAGGGGCTTCTTTCAGATAAGGCCCATATATATAACATTATCGATAATGTTTTGGTGCTGAATGAGGCTCCCAAAAGAGGAGCTAGATTGCGGTGAAGGTTCTTTGAAATTGGAGTTACTGTTGCAAAGTCTTTGTATCCATATTATGGAGCGGGTTTGGAGTCAGAAGTCAAATCACCAGTTCTGTTAACTACATAGTATGAGATTTGTTGCCATCAGAGTGGAGAACTCTCTCCCATGAGCCTGAAAGATGTGCTTAACTCAAACTGCCTTGAGTTTGGGCGCCAAGTTGGCCAAGTGCTTTTGCTGATCTCAAGTGGCTTCAGCTTCAGCTTCTCGGCCGCTTCTCGGCCGCGGCCGATGCGGCATGCCGGCACTACTTGTATGGCGCATTAGACGCGTCATTTGCGGATGCAGCACAGTTTTTGCCGATGTGCGCGAGGTGGCAGGAAGGAGGCACAAATCAATCGAGGCGAAGGTGTTGGTCATCCAATTGCCAACAACTCTCAAAGATGCGCTGCACCAAATGAGATTCATACATCACAAAAGAAGGGTTCTATGAGATGCGCCAGCTGACGCTATGTGATAGCGAAGGCACCAGGGGAGTGTCTTGTTGCTTTTCAGTTGTTCGTGCAGTGAAGTTCAAGGTTCGAGACAAAGAAGATGTTGCCCGGTGGCAAGGAGCTTTGTAGACGCTTGGCAACGACCTTGTGTGCCATGTCATTCTTTTTTGCAGGGCCTGTTAGCCACTAAGGCTGCTTCTGAAAGGTGAGGTTTGACTTGGAACAATGCAAGCGGACTGCATATATATTATATATGCTGCTCGTAATAGAATATATATATATATTATATATATATGTGCAGTGTCGACTCGTTGACGGTCATTATAGAAAGCATGGCAAACAAGCCAAGCAACCCGTTTCACCCATCAGGCCGCGACCCGGTCGCCGCGTCGACCCAAACCGCGAGGCCTCGGCCTCCCTTCCCGGGCGTGGCCGTGGACCCGGCCTCGGTGCGGGATCCAAAGTGATCGGATGAAGGTGGGAGCGGTGAGGCCCAAGGGGTCCAGTCGTACCGAACCTCAGGTACGGTGAGGACGGAGACACTGAGACATGTAGGTGCCAGGAGGGTCCAGTCGTACCGAACCTGAGAGGGTACGACTGGATCCCTAGAGGCCCTAGGGAGGATAAGGCGTTTGGATGGTTTTTTGGGAGGTTTGCCTGGAGCCCTGATTGATATCTGGCTTTGGGCTGGTTGTGGGCGTGACAGACTGTCCGCACGTTAACTTTTGGAGGTTTGTTGAACTTCACGGTTTGCAACATGTGTGTTGCAACTTCAAGGATCTTTAAGGTTTTTCTTTTGATGGAAAGGTTGCATATGGAAGCGGATGGTATCACCTGATTGGTTTTCTGAAAATGGTCGCCCTTTCGGGGCTATGTTCCAAATTGTTCCAGGGAGTGTAAGTACAGTAAGTACAGATTGATGAGGTCCCAGGCTCCTGCAAAAGATGTCACTGGACGAGCTAAGGGTGTTTAAGACTTCAATTGAGCTGCATAAGAGAGAAGCAGATTGAATCTGACCTAGTTGATCCTCAATTGGATCTGTGCCAAAACACGTTTCGATCGGTGCCAAAACAGGTCGGCTTGGAGCTCTTGTCCGGTTCGCCAAGGGCACGCGGCAGGTGTTGAGTCGGTCGAGTCAACCAGCTGATTCCACTTTGGTCTAAATTTGGTGCATTTGAAGCCCATCTAAAATGCTTTCTCAGGATGTGGTCTCATGTGGTATCATCATCAATGTATATATATATATATGGCTAGGGGATGATTTCGGACCTCCACTTTTGAGGCATTTACATGTTACTCCAACATACATACTTTCATTGCTTACTTCAACATCTGACATCTGGCTTCATTGCTTATTCCAACATCTGGCTTCACCAACATCTGGCTTCATTGCTTACTTCAACATCATCGTCTTCTACATCAGAGAACCCGGAAGCAGAGAAACAGAAGTCTGTGGAACAGGAGGCCGCGCCAATGTCAACTTCTACACCCCGGGCACCGTTGACGCAAGACGAAAGAGTGCTTTTCCAAGAGTTGCTAGATGCAGTGGGATGCCATCAGGAAATCGAAGAAGAGAATGATCGCCTGCGCCATGAAAATCAACGTCTGAAGGATGAACTTGCACAACTGAAACGTTCTTTGTCTTTGTAGAAACTATGAGCTGCTGTCTGGCTGTCTGGGAAAATTGCTAAAGCGCGCGGCCGAAACCATCACGTAACCATATATATATATACATTATATGTTTGCAGTTTGTGGACATGAGATCCAGCAAGTGATGGTCCTGAAGACCTCGAACACGGCGCTGCAGTAACCGGGCCTGCATCCAACAAATTGCGGAAGGCAGAGAAGGAGATCTCTATCTCCAGAGCAAGCGAAATGGACATGGTTTAATTGTTGTTTTCGTGCTTGTCATCATCAAAGTTCGGACTTTTTCGGCACTGTGTGGACTTCTACTCCAACAGCTTGACCTTCTCCCGGGCTCCGTAAAGGCTTTTCTCAGGGCCTGGATTTGGAGAGCCTTCTGCTGGTGCCCACGACATGGAAGACCCTTCTGCTAGTTGAATCCCAATGTGGCCCGAAAGTTCCAACATGGCCAAGAACGAGGTTGGAGAAGTTCTGGCCAATCCTTCCAACCCTGGCCAATGATGAATGTTCCTCATAGATCCTGATGATGTTGCTGGTGGGATCATGGAAGTGATGTTTGTTGCTGTTGTTGATGATGATGATTGTTATTTTTGTTTTTGTAATTCATGATGTCGAAATGATGGAAGGAATGATTACTGATGATGCCGATGATGCTGATACATGATGCCAATGGTGGCGGTGAGGTGGTGGAAACAATGTTGGATAATTGTGACAACCTGGTGTTGGGGTGCTCTGTGGTGAAGTGATTGATACGCGCTGGAAGATTCACATGGACCCCAAAACCACTGCATGGGCTGTAAAAGAAAGTCGTCTTCCAAAGATCCATGATCATCAGGTTCCATGTGGGTCTCTGCATAGTTTTTCATGTTCCATGGATCATTGTGCGGACCAACTGCCGAATTCCAAGGCCTATCCTGAATGAGAGCCAGCTTCAGCATGTGGTTGCCTGGCACTTGGATGAAACCACCCTGCAACACCTTGACTCCGCTTAGATGGTTTGTTTCTTGTTGTTGGTTGATCCTCCTTGCTTGCGAAATGGTGTGAGGATATTTGATCATCCCGTCTCAAAAATGTTCATAGCGGAAATGGTTTTGTTGTTTGTTTCCATTTAAAACTAACTTAACTAGCAATTAGCAAACTTAACTAATGCAAATAGCATTTGTTGTTTGTTTCCATTTTGTTGTTCGATTCGCATACTTAACGATCCAGTCACATGGCCTGTCAGGTTTGGGCACCTGATCCCAAACAGTCACCTGATGCCCTTTTCGACTCCGGGGCGGAGGGCATTGATTCACTGAACACATGACTAGACGTGACAGGCTCTTCCACCAATCACCAATACAGAACGTGACATGATGTTTCCTGAATCCATCATGTGAAACCTGATGTTTCCCTCCAAGCCAGCGAAGCCCTTCTCCAGGGGTTGCCACCTCCCTTGGCAATACCGACTTAGGAGGCGCGTGCGGCGCGCGCACGGAGTGAGATGGCCTTGGAGGTGGAGAGAGTCGCCTGAAAAGCAAGCAGTGCCTGGCAGTGCCCATGAAAAGGAAACTTAGAGGAGCAAGGACGCTACTAGGGGCTCCTGGCCTTACTAGTAGCAACAAGAAGCTATTAGAAATATGAATTTGCACAATACTATTTGCGTTCCTAAAGCAGGCGTTAGATCTAGAGAGCTGGAGCGGCATGTGGGGTGTGTAGTGGAAACTTCATGTCCAAAGTTGCAGAAGCACTGACTTCTGCGATGATCCTTTAATGTCCTTTACGGTATCCGGGACGCGAAGCTGTTCCCGGCCACAGCGACCGCTTTTTCTGCTGCTCCACACCGATCTGCCATGCCTTCGTGGTGCCAGACACACTCTTTTGGATAAGAGCCGTCCGACGATGGTCCCAATGCCCAGTGCATGGTGCATGATTTTCAAGAACTACCAAAGACTTGCCCAAATGTTCTGAAGGATGTTTCACTGGCTCTTTTAGTTCTTTGCATGTCGGTTATCACATGACATGTTATCACCTTTTTGCTGTCATTGATGCGCGAGTAGTATTAAGTACTCGTAGTATTCAAATATTTTGCGACATGAGCTGGTGGTGTGGATTGGCCCGAGCTGATGCAGCCGCGGTTTAGATGCAAAGTGTCTCAACATTTGAGATGCCAAGATTTGACCCCAGGTCGACCTACCCAGGAACAGTGGATCATTTGGGGGGGGACATCCCACTAAAAAGGAAGTCAAGAAGAGGGTAAAAAGAAGATCTATTTCTGCAGGGATCTCCCGCATCGGGAGTTGGATGGAAGAGGTGATTTTCGCCTCATCTCCTTCAGATCGTATGCCCAGATGTGTGATTTTTTCGCGTCTCAGCGGAGCTTGAGTGTCTAGCATCTTGGAAGGGTTTCCCATGGAAGATGTGCTGAAAGCAAATGGTGCATCGAAAGCATCAAAGCATCTTAAGCCATGCTCTCAACGAACACCCTTTGGTATTTTGTAGTTCCCCAGGGTCATGACCATGGGACAATTCTACACACATTCGGGATTGTTCAATTACAGATGGGTGGTGGGTTTCTCTTGTCAGACTGGAATCTGTACACTCCACTGGGAGATGCATTGCAAGAGGATGCTTTATCTCATATATAAGTGGACAAAACAGCTTGCGGTCACAGGCCACAACAGCGACACAACATGCATTACATTATGTTTGTGTGACTGCATTCCACAACTATAGACATAACTATCAGACGGGTGTGCTGTGAACAAAATTCCGTGTGATCTCTTATGTTGAGCTTCAGAGGGCACAAGAGCCTCAAACAATGACAGTGTTAAGTGTTAAGCTCATGTCTCACCCAATGCGTTGCTGGAGAGACTTCACTGAATTATCTTGATATCGATGTGTTCAAAATATATCACATACACTTAAGTGGTGTGGATCGACACCAAGCATGAACTACATCCAAGCAGCGTTGGTGACACTCCAGCAGCATGGTCCATGGACTTTTGTGGGGCTCGGCTGGTGGCGCAGATGTGTAGCGCCCCACACATCAAAATGATCCCCTGCAGATCCTTACAGATCCTTCCAGAGACTGCAGCATAGGTAGAAGCTTCTCTGGTTCCGCACCACGCAGCTTTAAAGGACACTTTTCAGGGCAACACGGATGATTCATAGATCAAGCTTGATCAAGCTCCAGGAGCATCCAGGAGATATTAACCGGTCATCGGTGTCCTGTTTCGCACAACAAACACCTTTCTCTTTTCAAGGCTCAAGTACAATCTACTACTTGGTTGAAACACACAATGTGTGCTGTTTGAATACCCATATGCTTAACTCACTGGCGCAGGCTTTGCCCAGCAAAGCCTGCTTTTTTTCTGTTGATCTCAGTTACCTGTCCCTGCAAATGACAGCATTGTTGAAGGCAGAAATCCTGCACCATTGTAACTATCATGTAGACAAGTGGCTGAATCGTATTCAACTTTGCCAGGTTCTTGAACTCTATCACTGCTTGCTTGTTTTCCAACAGTACGGCGTTCCCAAAGAATGCCCTGATGCCACACGGCGCACCAGCTGTCGAACCTGTCGACTTGAACCCCAAAGTGCAGTGCATGGCCCGTGAAAAAGGAGTGTTATTTCAAGACCATCCATGGTGGCACACAGGCCTGGCCTACACTACACCGGTGATTTTTTTTGTGGTGAATGTCGGTCATATTTGCCCCAGCATGGACTGTTTGGGTATGTGCCTTTGGCAGACCTTTTTTTCATCTAACTGTGCGACGACATATAGAACTGTGAGACGTCATAGTATGAACTACCCCTCCCACCATCCATGGGAATGGAAGAATGACATACTTTGACATTTGACGATTCCAGTGGGCCATGCCCGGAGGTACCTTGGGGCCGACCGAACCAAACCCATGGGAAGGACCGAGATCAACACACCGCATCTGAAAAACCGTGCATCGATCTCTCGGGCTCTTGGGCTCTTTCATGTGAGGAGCACCTGAGAGATGGACCGGACCCCAGATTTGGATGAATGTGTATGTCCATCCCCTAGGGATCCAGTCCTACCGAACCCGAAAAAAAACACCTACATGTCTGAGTGTCTCCGTCCTCACCGTGCCTGAGGTTCGGTACGACTGGATCCCTATAGGGATCCTCTTACATCTCCAAAATCAACCTATAATTAATCACCTGAAGTGGTGCAACACAGGGGATTTTGTGATGTTTCTGAAACGCAAAACGACGATAAACCCGGTCTAGACCGGTGGCGCTGAAGAGCTGGAGCAGGCACTCGTCTCTCATGTTTGGTCGAACGAAACGTTGAGCTGTCATGGGATGGCTACAGCTCAAATAAGAAGGTCCGGAGACTCGCAAGTCTCCACAGACCTGCAGATTTGAGTCATCGAATCGATTTGTGAGCCATAGCCATAGCCAGATGATGAGTGCATGGGTCAAGATCAAATGTGCCCAAACCATTCTGCTCAGTTCTTGTTTTTGACCCACTCTGATGTATGGATCATCCGCGTTAAAGTCCAAATCCATCCAAATCCACGTTGCACACAAAAACCACACATCACACACTTCCACGCGAATCCTGGCCCACACCCACCGGGTCCCAATTGGGTCGGGACGGAGGTTTTCTGACGAAACTCCCTCCCACTTCGATGTGGCCCGATGGACATCAACGAGAAACGAGGGACATTCGCATCAGGCCAGGCCTATAAGAGCCTGTATAGATACGATATGATAGGTTTGAATTGAATTTTCTTGGCGCTCGTGCCACATCCATTTCTTGTGTCTCCAACCAGTCTAGCCTTTGATCTCGAGGACCCCAACTCGCCGAAATCAGCGACTTTCACCTCAAGGGCCATCCGGGCCTTCTCCTGCCATCCAATTCTGCTTGGGGGTTGATGGCACCAGCCGACCAAAGGGACCCCGCTCAGGTCCGGATTTCCTTCGGAGACGAGCTCAGGTCCCGAGCTGGCCACACCCAAAACACGGGCGACGTGGTTTGGTTGTTTTCGAGTCATTTCGACGGAAGAAAGACACCATCGACGGAATGGCTGGGGGAACCCATGGGCATTCCCACAGAAAAACCATGGTATTACGGTATTCCTGAAATTCCGATAGCGTTTTCTGTGGAATCTCTTCCATCAACCAACACACGGAGGTCGGTGCCGGAGTCGGTGCCTGTCAGCTCACGTGGCGCCGGCTTGCTGGGTAGCTTGCGGCTCCAGGTCGAACGTTCAAAGCGGAACACGTGACAGTGGGAACACATCCGTGGTCAGCAGATGGGCGACCTTGCTTTGCCACAGCAAGCTTGGTGATATGAGCCCTCAGGCCCTGCAGGAAGGTTTCACCAGCAATGAACTACACATACACCGAAGGGATACACGAGTTGGTCTTGATTCCCGGCATCAACCATGTTTCATGTTCGGTCCCTGCATTTGGGCCTTCCTTTCTGGTGAGTGCGCCCGGGGCCTTCCCTTGCCAGTCACGGTGCTTGCACCGGTCCAATCTCTTTCAAGCTGTCGCCATGGCCGGACATCCCCGATGTGGGCCGGAGACCGGCGGTGGGTGGGTAGAAGCGGGAAATGCTACAGCAGCAGCAGCAGCAGCAGCACCAGCAGCGCCTCCGAACAGCACGGAATGGGTTCTTCCACCAGCCAGGTAAATGGAGGTTGTGCGTTTAGGGGGGGCATCACACAACCTATAATATGTATAGTATAGCGATTAGTTTCGAGCGCAAACCAAATCACTGGTTATGCAAGGTTGAAGTTCCTGTATGCTTTTTTTGGCAGCGCCTGAACATTTATATATATAACATCTATTAAATAAATATAGTGACATTGTTGCAGGGATCCCTATCCCACAAAACATGATCTTTGAATTTGTATTGCAAAGAGCACCGCAACTATCCCAAGGGACGCGATGGAGGATAACTGCAGGCCCTTGTCGTGCAATCATTTGACAAACTCTTCCACCAAAACTCGCAAGTGCTCAAACCATGCAGAAACGCATCATAGTGTTTCACCTGGCATTCAGGCGCTCATGGGGTGAGGCTTCAGTCTTTTTTTTCACCAAAGCGAAGTCCATAGCAAGAGAGGTTGAGGACCTTATAGGACCCCACTGGGGTACCTACAAGTATCCCAGATAGTCTGCTGGTGATTATGCCCACGGCATGAGGTGTTTGATGGAGACATTTGGATTGGACAGCCGACCTGCGACATGAGCGACATGAGCGAACGACAATATTTCAGCAGACAACACCTTGAGCCTGCACAAAACACTCTGGTTTGGCCAGTGTTTAGATGCTAGTTCCATGTGACTCGGAGCCAATTGGATCCAAGACAGGAACCTGTTCGAGTCAGAGGTGTTTTGATGTTTATCACACCATTCTTCACAAAAATATTGAATCTCCACCTGGAATATGTTTCGGCTGATGTTAGGTCCTCAGCAATGCTAGACCTATAGGGGAGTAGGGCTACTCCCTGCGGGGTGTTCTTTCGAAGTGTTGAGTTCGATGTTGGGCCCATGTGTATATCCTTTTGAGGGCCCATGTAATATGCCTTTTATAAGTGAAAACAGTGAAGCATTTGTTTCAACCCCCATGAAAACAGTGAAGCATTCTGGCACCTCGCCTGGCACCATATGGCTCATCGCTGGCAAGGAGTTTTGGCACGAAGACCGAGCAGCCTGGAGGAGGCGGAGTAGCGGGGACAAAGATCCGAAGACCAAGAGACGTGGGGTAGTTCATCTACCAGACGCGACTGGTCTCCACGGGACTGGCAGAGTTTGAGTCTGTCCGAACGTCACCTGTGACGAGCCGTCAGGTTGAAGCAGAGCAAAGTACTATTTTAGAGAAAGGCCTGCAGCCTAACCATCATTATCCACTGTTAAGCGCTGATAGGATAGACCCACGGCATAATTACAGTTCCCATGGATGGTTGGCATGACCTTCCATCCAAGTTAGATCCAATTAAGTGCTTAAATCAATGGATGATATACCTTGGAAGTCCAAAGACTATACTTTTCCATAGTGAAGTAAAGGACAGTCCCTTTTAGGCACCCTCGTCAGACCATTCTTGCAACATTGTAGTCGACTGGACTCCCAGGGTATACAGAAGTCAACCTTCGGGTCCAAAGGATCCATCGGATCCATCGCCAGCGACGCCAAGTCAACTTCCAGCGAGCCAATCCCTCAACCATCGGATCCTTTGTCGGATCGTCTTCTTGATCGTCTTCCACACAAAGCACGCCCTGCAAGATCAGCACGGAACCTGAAAACCACGCCCGGGCTGGTAGAGGAACCTCGTCTTCCAGTCTGGTCCATGTCCAGCTTCCATGAGGGTCTCGGAACCGGAACGCCGGCATGGACGCGTTCGGGTGGCTGCGGTTCGGGTAGCTGGGCCGCCCATCCCAAATCCAGAGACACAGTGAAGCACCTGTGGCGCCAGAATCAACCAGAAGGTGTTTCTTCATGTTTTGGCCGGGAGAAGATCGAATCACAAGATTTGGGTGATTTGGTCAAACACTAGGATGGCTATCAGAGGCTATCCAGCAATTCTTAGATGATTTTTGTGGCACCTTTGTAAATGCCGCAAAACTCACCCTTCAGACCTTCAGATCTCTTCAGATGCAAATTCCAACCCGGTTCCACCGCTAATCCAACTCGACTGGCCATGGCGGCCATGGCTCTTGGGGCCTCCAAAACAAATTGTGTTTTTGTCCGAAACCGCTCTGGTTTCACCTAGGTTGGAGGCCATCGCTAGTAGGTTGGAGGCTGGAGGCCATTGCTCTTAGGTTGGAGGCCACTAAGAGTAGACTTCCATGACCCATTCCAGCCGTATGGGCGCCGTGCGCCCACTCCGTCAGGATCCCAGAGGAGCGCGCTTCGGGTCGGACACGCTGGTCGTCGGGGTCGGCGATACGGGGTACGCGGGACGTCGCTGGCAGCAAAGGTGCGCAGAGCAGCTTGAAATTCTATGCTTCTGTATATATACCCTAGGCCTCCAGTCGTACCTTCTGAGAAGGTGGGACTGGGGTGGGTTTGGAGGGTTCAAATACCTTTTGAGGAGGTACTTGGAGGTGTAGGGATAGATAATATATATATATACAGAGAGAGAGAGGTTATAGAGAGGTTAGATCCCCAAAACGGCGGGTTGGGAAAGGAATGGTAGGTTAGGTGGGTTCTTTTTGAGTGTACATGCACCCCAGTCAATCCGTTTTTCGAGTGTGTCAGGATTTTGTTCAGTTTCGAGGTACAACATATTCCATAGGTGAACATATTCCACATGAGGGGATCCACCGTTGTTGGGTGAATGTCATTTTTTAAATACGTTCAGCGACCGGACATACATGCCAGGCGTTCCTCGCCAACATCACCAAAAGGTTGGTGAGACATGCTTTCAGGATGCAAAAGGTTGGACAAACATGCCTCAGGAAAAAGATTGAACAATTCAATGCATCCAACATTTTTGTACATCTCGCATGATTTTGGGAGTTCCAAGCTATTGTTTAGGAGTGGTGCTGAGATGTACCGCTTGACGAGGGTGCAAACGAATGCCACAGAATTTGGAAGCAGTGTACCAGGTCTACCAATCCCGCAGAGTGTTAACGTGGAAACTGAAAATTGACCTTTGGAAGTTTGGAAGACTAGCTTCCTCCACAAACCAGTGGTTTTCAGGTTCCATGTGATAATCTATACCAGGTCTACCGTCCCCCCCGCAGATGATCCCGTCCCAGACATGTACGGTGTATGCGGTGATCTCCCAGACGCTCGGTGCGTTGGGTGTTGCATACAACCTTAAAGGCGTCCTGAAGAAAGAGAGGACATAGCTTCTAGTAGCTTCTTGTTCTATAGTAGTGATGCCAGGAGCTACTAGTAGCGATGCGCTTGTTACTAGTAGCTTCTTGTTACTAGTGTGTTGCATGCAACCTTAAAGCGATGAACTGAGCCTTTTGGTACGGGAATGGTCTGGTTAACATCTGGGTTTTTCCCATCCACTGGGGTCCACCACCACCGGACACACAAAGCTGATGCAATCATTGATCTACGTTCTTGATCAGTGGACCAGTATGCATGTCCAGAATTGAAGCAGCAGCAGAGTGCTGCAGCATGTCCAACACCACGGTCACGACAGAGTTCTGTCACGACTTCTAGGCGAAGATTTCAATCGAACTGCATCTGGAACAAACGTTGGATACATCATACATAGCAAAACCAAGCACTGGTGGTTATTTGCCCAGCAGACCATACTGCCTTCGCTGTTTGCTGGAGAAAAAGGGGGATCCATGACGTGGCGGGCATTTTGTTTTTCTTCGCCTTGCGCAAGTTTATTTGGAAGCCCAAAGAATTTCAATTGGCTTTGATGAAACTCCCACTGCAAGTTCAGAACTGCCCCTCACTTCCAGAATTTGAGACCACTCGGAGGAAACGGTGACGGAACAAGCGAATCGGTTTTTAAGGCATGTGCTAGAGTCGCTAGAGTCTACTTGTTTCAATGAGCGGAAAGTGCTAGAGTCTACTAGAGCTGGCTGGGAAGATGATTGTCCTCTACCTGATTCCGCACACATGGAGGTTCTCCGAACATTTTGGATCCGGATGTCCCAGTCAGGACATCGAGGTGCAAGAAACCCCGCCGGGGCACCACAGATTCAGTCGTTCACTTCAACCCGGTGTGTTTTTGCATGGATCTTAAAGGCTGTCTTGGGGGATTCTGTTGGGGAGGTGATTGATTTTGGTCAAGGACTACAAATGGGCTATCTGTTGGATTGGACATCACCAGCTACGGGCCAGGATAGATCGCCGAGAGATCAATGAGATTTGTGTGGAAACCGGATGATATCCTCAGGAATAGGTGTGGTTGCATGACCAAGCACAAGGAGCCAAAACATCGAAATGCACTTGTGGAAGATTCTTTCAGTCAGCAGGCTTAGCAGTGAATATCAAATGTGTGCCCCGACAATTCATGTGAGAAGCTCCTTCAGTGCCTTTTTTGTTACCTGGGGCACTCCTGCAGTCGCTGGAGATTTGGTGATTCCCATCACCATGAAGTCAAAACATGTCAATACACTGGTCCCACCATGGCCCCAAAACCAACCAGTCATTTGAATGTTCATGGCCCCCAAACAGAAGTTCAGTCTCCAACAACGACCGCGGAAGAGACCTCCTCAACTGCTTGGGCACGAGGCGTCCTCCGCCGCCCGATGACGATGCCACTCCATCGCTACCCTTGGAAGGCGACGGTCGCGGCGCTCGCGGCCGCGGTTGGAGATTGAAGGGGTCAAGGTTGAAGCAGTACAACCTAGGATTAATAAAAGCAAATTAAAAATAAACACACACACATATATATATATGATAGAGGGTCCTTTAGGTGTTAATTCGTTAGTCTATATGTAAGACAACTATATAAAACGTGCACAAATGATGACATGGACAAACTTATCAAAGCTTGTGAAGATTAAAATTGAAAGAAGCACCAGCTTCTCGGTCCAGCTGGCAAGGAAGGAGCACCATCACGTCAGTTTCTATGTTCAAAGCTTGGCCAAAAAGACTGATGAAGTAGATGCCGTGCCTGAGATCTTTCTTCAGGACGGCAATTGCATCCCCTGTGCTTTGTGGCACCTTCTTGGCGGCGCAGATTACAACTTTGAAAAGACCTTCAGCCAAACATTTGCGGAGAACATTGTGGAACGAAGGGACAGGACTTATCAGCAGTGCTCGGACATGTTGAAAGTCCTGCTCCAACCGTGCTATGGGATTCCCGATGCGCTGGAAGGGAAACTCCTGCTTCATTCAGAACAGGATGGGCAGGGGCATCGCATGGCTGTGCAGGTATCAGACGACAAAAGCACATGTGTGTTAGTCACGGGTCGCAAAATTTCACTCTAAGCTCGGGCACATTATCTGGATGCAGTCAGCAGAGGTATCTATCAGCGCACAATAGTCTGCTTCTCACTTTGAATGATGGAGCACGCGCAGTGGAGGAAGGCCAGCTGCTCAATCTCCAGGCAGGCTCCGCTTTATCAATGTCAGAAAGTGGTTGAGATGAGGAGGTTCCGGAGACCACCTTCATTGTGGATGATGAAGGCACCTGCATGTTTGAGGATGTGGTTCGGGTTTCTCTGGGTCATTTCCTTCCGAGCTGAGATTGGCACAGGCCGTATTCGCACTATGGACGGCGTCTTTTCGTTGCACCCTTTGCCTCGTTCGAGCATTCAAGAGAATGTGCCAGCTCGCTGACCAATGTGCGTGTATATCACGTGCTTGAAAATCAATTCGTTTGTTCTGGTACCAAGCAAATGAAAGTAATTTTGGCGTTGCGTGACTCAAATTGCATGCAGCGAGGTCGGGGCCAAGACTTTCTGTTCCGAAGTGCTTTGGTCCTTCGTTCACACATAGATCCTCCTCTTTCGCCCACCTCCAACCACATCAACAAGCTCATCAGGCTCTTGCTGTCAGCGGGCAGACCACGCTATGTGAACAAAGCTTCGTTGATGGGGCATGGGAGTGCGACGTGTTCTGAACATCTACTATGACCACTCCTTCGCAGAATTGTTGTTCAGGGAAGTTGTGCTCCATCATTCAATTGTGCCTTGTTCCGGATCTAGTCAGCATTTTCCTATTGATGTTGTTGCATTTGCGCCATTTCATTAGACCGAGCGCAGCAGAATTTATACTACCAAGAACACAGACGCACAATGGCAGGTGAAAAGCACCTTTCCTCGGTTGCATCTTCGAGCAATGGAGGCAATCCGCTGGGCAACCTGTATCCGAACCATACTCGGCATTGGTGGCCTTTGGTTGAAGATATCTTGAATGCAGGGGAAGTCAAGGGGTTAAGGCAAAGAATCTTCGTTACCCTTGAGCAAGACCGCGAGTTCGAAGTTGAAATATCGTATGACCTTGCAGGGACAGATGTTCGCAATTCTGCGTGCTTCGGAGATGACAGAGCTTTGAGGCGGATTTTGACAATCCGCGGGCGAAGGTTGGCAAAGAATTGCTAATTTAGTCAAACTATTAATCCGAAGAAAATATTTTGTCTTTTTTTGAAAAACCTAATTTGAAGGACACATGGCTGAAAACTCCAACGACCGTATACACTTCTGATGCGTTTCCCAAAATCATGTACATTAATTTGTCTATGTGAACAAATGTCCTAAAAGTGGTTCCACTGAATACTGAAATGAAATGCCACCACAGAGCGATCAAATAATCGTTTGTTCAGGCTCACCGAATCAAGAATTAAACACTTTTAAGGTTCGAAAGAATGTTCGGGTAAATCTGGTAAAGTACATGCTCAAGTACAACTGCTCCAGTAAAGGCTCAAGTAAACTGTTCCAGTACAATGCTCAAGTAAAACTGCTCCAGTATGCTCAAGTCAATGTGCGTCTAGTTGAAGTAAATGCTGAAGTATATCAACTCCACTGAACAAGTGCTTACACAAATGCTCAAGTAAAATCATTGCAAGAGAAATTTGCAAAGCTGCACCTCACTTGTTTTTGTGCGTCTAAAGGCCAGTCTTACCAGTGTTGATTGCAACCAACTGCCTTTGCTTAATTGCTGCGACCCGACCAGTTCCAAAATGTTTGTTGCCGGACACGCATGACTTCTTTGGCAAAGCTTGCGCCTATTTATCAGAGTTTTCCAACTGTCCTTTACTTGAGCATTCATTGTGAAGTTCAAAAATTGGTTGACTTTTTGCCTGAGCATTTGAACTTTAGTGGCATATTGTAAACTTATAATGTGTTGATTTTTAATTGATACTTTTCCAAGAGTGATAGAACATTACTTATGCAAGTATTGGCAATATTTGGTAGAAGTCTGCAAAGCATATACAACTTAGTGAGTTTTGGATGCATTTTGATGAGCTTTTGATGAAATTTTGATGACATGTGATGAAATGTTGAACTCTTGAACGTTTAATGCACTTTTGATGTGCTTTTCTTGTACACTTTAGAAGTGCATCAAAATTGCTCAAAAGTTCATCAAAATCATGAAAAATTTATGAAAAGCGCATCAAAAAGCATCCAAAATTCGTCAAAAAGTTCAACGCACATATTGATTGTTTAGACATTGGGGGTCTTGTAATTTTCTTGTTTTTTCATAGGTCTTGAATGCTTACATGTGGTTTCCTATGTCATTTATGACATCATCGATTCTTTCATTGGGATTTTTTTTTAACAACGTCTATATTCGCCATCTGTTCAAGTTCAAGATCATAGTTATCATGGCCTTGTGTGTACATCATTTTAGATGGCAAGCATGATTGGAGAGGATGAACTCACGGATGATGGTGCAAAGCATACATGAACCAGCTTCGCCAGTGATCAAGAGGCCTGCTGTGTCCAAAGCAAAGGCACAAGCTTTGCCAAAGAGTGTCGTGAGACAAGATAATGCTCAAGTAAGCTTACATGAGAAGAAAAAAGCGCAAGTAAACATATGACAAGAAACCTGCTCAAGTAGATATACATAGACAAGAAAAATGCACGAGTAAAGGTTGTACACATCACCACAGAAACGCCAAAAACACAGCACATTTCTTTTCATAAATTTGTCAAGAAAAATTGTAGGTACCTAATTAGTTTCGGTAGGTACCTAAAATTAGGTATACTAATCTTCCAGACTCAGGGTGCGGCGCTGGCCATGCAAGCTGTTGGAAGTGAAGATGCAGCCACATTGCGGGAAGTCTTCGAATCCTGCTTTTCGTCCCGAGCCATAATGCAGATCAAGTATGTCTCAACAGATTCGCCGTCCTCCAAGTTGTTTTGCGACTCAGAAGGTATTTGCAATCTTGAATGCCTGTCGCTGGATCCAGTATACTTGGCCATTGTTAACGAAATATGCTCAGTGGGGCAAAAGGTCTCCAGGATCGAAGATTCTCCGACGGGTGTTGAGCTGCGTCAATCAAACGGAGGGCAGCTTAGGCTCCACACCTTGGGGACCATTTTTCGAGGAGTGAGGAAGGACTCCAAAGGCTAGCGTCATGCGTGTGAAGAAAGGATCGATGCTGCCTCAACATTGCATGAGTTAAGGGCATCTTGTGCACCGCAAACACAACGTTTCTTGAAATGATACATATCTTCAGCCTACACAGGGAATTGGCGCGGCTTTGGCACGCTGAAGGGGTTCAGGGCTTGCGCTTGCGCGTGCTCGTTGTGGGTCTGAGTAATGATTGGTTGCGCGAGTAATGCTGCTGTTAGTGGCTCTGACTCATGCTCCAGCGGCCGCAGTTGCGGGGGCTTGTTTGATACTGCTGCTGTTCTGAGGGCATGCGCCTGTATGTGCTTGCTGTGGGTCTGAGTGATGATTGGTTTTCTCGAGTGGTGCTGCTGTCGTAGTTTCCGACTCATGCTCTAGCAGCCGCAGTTGCGGGAGCTTGTTTGAGACTGCTTCTGTTGGTGGTACATGTGTTTTGCGCGCGCGCGTCTCCACACACACTCGTACACTAGCATAAGCGTCAGTAACTGGAAGAAAGTTTTGCATCTATGCCTATATCATCTCAGTGTATTTCATCTGAGGAACAGACCCGACAATCCTTTACTGGTTGCGCGCGAAGACCGGCTTGCTTCTTGGCTTCTGCGTGGATCGCAGTGTGCTTTCAAACTTTGTGAAATTCGGTTTGCGTTCCCAGCAAACCGCCCAGTTTTAAATATAGGCTCGCGTGTTTGGATGGTGTCTATAAAAGCACTTTGGTGGGCGCTGGCGGAATACACATTAAAGTTAACATGCCATGTTTAGTTTGTTCAAAAAACTCGCAAATCACTGAAGTATGAGCCATTTCGACGCGGTTGGGACTGGGTTTTGTCAGAGATGCTTGATCCCTTCTTGAGCGCTATTGTTTACTTGTGGCAGTGCGACGAACGATCCAACACGATAGCCTATTCCCTTGGTCTTTGCGCTTGCATTCAGAAGTTCAACGGGTTTAACTAGCGTTCCGCCACTGGCTCATGTTCTTCTGAGGAATACTTTACACTTCCGGGCCGCTCCGGGTTCCGCGAGCAACAAGAGACTGTTCCTATATAATATTGACCTTTGCATTAGGTCTGTCGATAAGACTCATGAATCGGTTGGAGGACCTGAATGAAATACATTACATGCTATGAACGTTAAGATAGCAGCCGGGGTCCTTTGCGTGGCCACTCTAAGGAGTATCAGAGCATGATGCGTGAGGTGGACTTGGATGATCTAGGACTCGAACGATTCGAGCACGGACACTGGCCACTGGCTGAAGAAAATGTCCGTGGCTGCTTCTTTATGTCATTGCAAGGACAAGCGAAATAATCCCAAAAGGTCCCTTGTCATATATATGTATATATGCATCCAGTCAGGCTTAGCATAGGATCAACCACTATCAAACACATCATAGATCCTAAACTATTTCCAAACAAGAATTCCCCTGTTTGGTTAGACGGAGGCAGGCTCAAACAGGCTTCAGTGAACTCAGGTTTGGCATCCCACACCCCGCAGGTTTGTGCTTCAGATCGGACAATGGGAGTATAAAAAATCCACCTTTCAGAGTTCTGTTAGCCACTGACCGGAGGGTGATTGGTACTTGCACCAGCCTGTAAATCAATGTTGAGTACATATATAGAGGATCTATATGTCAGGCATGTATCGAGCTATATTTCTTGCAAAATCAACCAATTCAATAATCCACCAAAGCATGGGGCATGGGGCCATGGTCGTCTCCATTGGTTACAAGAACTGATAGTCATGAGTTGCAGGAAACAACTCTTCAACGGCTGGTCATCTCACACTACAATTGTTTGGAAGGCTCAAGCACTCACCAACATCGTCTAGTTCAGACTAAAAAATATCTTTGATCCGCCTAGTAACGAGTATATTTTTACTAGTAACAAGAAGCTACTAGTAGCTATTTGCTACTAGTAACCACTTGTTGCTAGTACCTGAAACTAAACATCGGCTGCAACATCGGTGGCAGTTCCGACTTCCGCTCGTTTCGTCCTTGGAGGCCATGGGCAGACTGAAGAGTTGACGCCTGTCGGGAGCTTGAAGAGTGAGGGGCTTTCGTTGGATCCATGGTTTCACCGAAAAAACATGAAGACTTTCGAGAGGACTGCGCATTATTCCTGGCCTGTTCTTAGTCAAGATACATAAGACCAATCTCTGAGGCATAGAACACTCTGTAAGACCAATGTCTTTACATCCAATGAATGTCTGTTCCATTTTTTTTCATATTGGCTTGTAGACAGTCTTTTTCACACGAAAGCAAACCTTGGAACAAAGTGTGGCCCGTTCGATGCAGCAATATAGGGCCAGGCTCGAATTTGTCACTCGAATGCAACGTCAGCAAATGGTCACATAGTCTCCGCTGGGAAACACGGTCGGTCGTGTTGACCGGGTTTCCTCGCGTGGATCTCCCGTTTAACTGAGGACAAACACACACAATCTGTTGTGTTTGTTCAGCAACTAGCGTACTGATGTGCATTGAACATAGCTGTTTATGTATGTGTTGCAAAGGATTCCATCGGTTTACAAATAAATGGGGTAGCATTCCTTGGGCGATGTCGACATTGTTCTTCAGATTCCCCAACAACGATTTCACGACACATCTCATGATCTTTGAATGTCCTGAAGTTGGTTGAGGGACGTCCACTTGTCCAATGATCTCTCATAGAGACCGTGCTGATAGGAACCGTTCACTGCAGAGGTGCTTTCTGGAACCCTCTTGATTCTAGGTAACCAAATGCCACAAGATTGAGCCTTTTGGTGAAGACGGATAAGACATGAGACCTGACCACCCACCACCTGACCTGCGCTGCGACGCGCTAGTGCTTACTTCAGCCGCAGGCTGCACTGGCACACGGTGCTGGCAGTTTGGCTTGGTCCTTTACTCTTCATTGCTTCTTCCAGCTGCTGAGGCAGATCGGATGAACCTCCGCAGCTGCCTGGCCGCCACTGCAGGCCCTTATCCACCCTTGAGGCGGGGACGGAAAAGGGAGCCGCGAGTTGGCAAGGGATGCAGGGGGGAAGATGCAGCGTAAACGTTTATGGTGCCCAAACACAAGAGGTCTTCTTTTCAGTTCGAGCTTTGCGTGCATTTCAGCAGTTGCAAAGCAGTGTGTGATTGTTTCTAGTTTATGTTCCAAACGCAGTTTTTGCGGGTTGAAAGTTGTTATACGGTCACACTGCAATGATGCAGGAAATGCTACCTTATATGAAAGGCATCAATTGCATATCAGTATGCCAAGTTTTGTTTACTAATTTGGCACCGTTTGCATAATTAGTATGCCAAAAACATGTGTGTAATTGCTCCAGGCGGCGCTTTCCTTTGAGGGTCGTCATCCAGGCGCGATCTATGCGAGTTGTAGTGGGCAGCATGCGCGGCGTTGAAGCTGCATCACATGAAGAAGTGAACAGAAGATCAAAGATGGACAGGAATGGATGGCTTGCCTGACGTGATTGGTGATTTGATGGCTCGACTAAATCATATATCATACAACCACCGCAGTCCAATTATTGAACAAAACAAAGAACTTGCACCAGCTGGGTTTCTTGCTAGAGGTCCTGAAACAGATTTCAAACACCAGGGTTTTGAAGATGCCTGAGTCACATGAAGAAGTAACAACATTTACTTAATTTGGTTAGTTCCAATAAAGTAAAAAGAACAATGTATTTTTGTTTGAATGCAAGCCCTGCATATCATTTTTAACCAATTGAGAGAAACTGAACCGGTGGTTCATGCACCCCCATCGCCCTCAACTTGGCAGCACATGAACAAAGGTTTGTTGCAAAGACAGGAGTCCTGGACGGTGGAAACCACGAGTTTGCAAGTGCCCAGAGGACTCCAAACCGAACTTGACCAGAATGAGAATCGAACAACATATTTTTGTTGAACCGAGTCGCCAGCTAGCCCAACTCAGTCAATTGAATTCGACATCGGATGGATTCTGGGACAGCTGCAGATCTCCTCATGTTGATTCGCGCATAGATTTTAGGACTCATCAGTGTGTGCCGATTTCACGGCGTTTACTGGGCCGCCATCCAGTCACGGCCAATTCGGGTTTGCGGCAAACAGAGAGGTCATAGTTTGGCGTTTCCCAAGCCAATCAGGTAGACCCCTATCAGAAAGAACCCAATATGACCTTTTAGATCGTTTAGGATCTGTTGAATTAGTGTAATGCTTGTTCATAAGGCGTTTATAGGTGCAGTGTTTCTCTTATTTTGCTTCCATGACTTCATGTTAACGCAGGTGTATCAAACCTGGTTACTGGTTGCCCGCGTGCCCTTCCCCACCGGTGCAGTCCCAGGCGGCCGTACAGATCTGGGAGGTGGAAAGCCCCTTGCTGTCTGAGCAGGTCCGAATCGGTCCGATACCATGTCGCTTCGCCCACCGAACGGAATCGGTTCCACACGTGTTTTTTTTTTCTGAACATCTGATTTGTTGGAACATGAAGAAGTGGCCGAATCTTGAATCTGAAGGCACAAAAGCATTTGAGTGGACTAGTTAGAAGGGCGCCTGTTGCTGGCCCTTTCTGCTAGTCCGCCCCGCCCCTGGCTTTCTGAAGATTCACCGGATATTCCGTCTTGGATTGTTCCAAGATTGTTGCCGAGGCCAACTATGGTGTTGCACAAGAAAATGTACCAAGCTTTGGGTACTCTTGTTGGGAAACTGTTCCTTCTTGCAAAGGGAGTTGTAGCACCCTTCTTTCCTTGGACCTCTTTGTCCACGGGTCTATGCCACGTGGGCGGCGAAGATCAAACAATGGCGCAGGCTTAGGCGAAAACCAGTCACCTGCCACCTCCAGGAATGCAGTTGGCGCTGAGCCCATCAGCTCTGCGCTGGCAACACCCGAAAAAGCTAAGATCGAAGGGTTCTGGGACTCGAAACCGATCTGTGTCCGCTTGAACCCTTTTTGATTACACTCCCGAAAACTAACATAGACCCTGACTGTTTGGCACCCCTGGAAGAGCGTTTTCCTCTACCAACCAGTGGTTTTCAGGGTCCTTGTTAGTCTTCCAGGGTGTGGACACCTATCATATGAGCAACCACTTTTATTTAGGCTTTACTAAAGTACTGTAGTCTACGGCATGTTCTATTTGCTATCATCAGTATCTGCTACTAAAGTCGTCTGAACGAGATACTGTGACATGACCTCCTACTTAAGTAGTCTAAACGAGATAGGGCCCCCACATAATAGATAGTGCAATTTGAGTTTAGTACCAAATAAATACCGCCGCACATATACTAAGTGGCTTTTGCTTCCAATGGGCTGTTTTCACTTACAACAGGGACCGGTCTGAGCTGCAAAGCACAATGCACAATGCACAAGCCCAGCCAACGGACCGATCGTTACACCTTCGCCGATCGGGTGGAAAACCCGAAGCACGACGGATGATCGGTTCACAGCCCGGTTGTCCTCCACAGAGGAGGGGGCTCCGATTCAGTTGACTTGCGACCCTGACTTGCCGCGCAGCCGCCAGGGCAGCCCCATCACGCGCATGGCCAATGCAGCCAGGGAGAGCACCCAGGCAGGGGACGGCCACACTGAGCCCCGTAACAGGTGGAATGTGCATAGGGGCAAAGATCAACAAGATCGAATTGGGTGGTTTTTGTTGGAACCAAAGCTTTGGCATGGGGACAAAAATGACCCACGGCAAGATCGATTTCATGAACCTGGGGACATGGGGTGAAGTTTTTTGGGGGGCCTTTGTCTACTCGCGTGGACGAGCTGAGCATTCTCCACCCAGCTTTGAAGATGGAGTTCGTTCACCCTGATGGAGCTCGCCAGTGGCCTTCCTTTCGTCAGAAAGAACCAGAACGTCAGTGTGGGACAGAACCACATGGAAAGGGTGAACGGTGCTCCGTCCTGTTTTCTGTTTCGGTCGCTCCGTCCTCACATTGGGTCGAGTGGCTCCGTCCTGTCAGGGCACAAGTGTGAACGGAAAGGAAGGCCTTTTCGAAGCCAAACGGTTGAGACCTGGGCCGTTCAACGGCCCAAACCTGGGGACGTGTGATGTCGGCTGTCCGGGCCGTCCATTCGGGCTGTCCGCCGTCCTTTTTCTTCCGCAGGGCGGGTACGGCGTTTTCACTCGTTCCAGGGCTTCAGAAGTTCCTATGTTGCGTCACATTCCGATGCACATGTAACTCTTGGGTGGATTATTTGTTCTGTTTATCCTATGTATAGACTATAGAGTTTGGTATTGCCATAGTCATGAGGTGGCCCCGACTGCATTTGGTCAAAGTATAGAAACCAACTATGACCAACTCAAATTCTTGGGGGGTTCTTCGCACATGAAGAATCAAATGTTTTGTTTGAACCTCCCTCCCTTGACGCTGATTCATTCACAGGCAATTAATAGACATCGAGCCCATGCCAGCGTTGATGAGGCCACCAGGCGAAGAGCCTGGTGTGGGCAGTACTCTTAGCATGCCCCAAACATCATCTCGGAATATCAAAGTCAGTCATTAGCACTCTTCATCAATCTCCAGAACTGTCCAACTCAAAACTGCTTGGCAAACCTCCAGCCCCTTGGCTCTTGGACCCCCGAAAAACACCCCCCCCACCTGAAACCCTTTTGTTTTCTCCTCTCACCGCGGGTCCTCCTCCCCGCTGCAGGACTTCCTCGTAAGAACGGCGGCCGCGGGGTCGAGCTTCGTGTCCTGGGGCCAAGGGCTCTTGGGCTCTGCAGCCAAGGCCCGTCCACGTCGGTCGGGGTGGGTCTCCGGTGCGAGAAGGTTTGGACGTTTTCGGGGTGGGACGAGCGAAGTGAAAGAAGATCAGTCCTACAACTTGTGACCCTTTGGTTTTGGGATAGATCAAGAGGTTAGAAGGATCCTTCATGCAAATACCTGGTCTACCTACTACCTACTCATGGGAGACTTCTATATCCATGTCTATTCCAGGATTGTACATGTTTGTCAAGCATAGAGCAATGCATGAAATGAAGCCCTTCTCCTGTTTGGTTGTTAATACTACAGTTGGTTGTTAATACTGCTACAGCCAGACCCCCACCGTGTTTACCTTTTCATCGTGTCCACCCACTGTCTTTTTTGTGAATCAACTCTGGTCACATACGATCACTGTTACAGAACTGTGTCTGGTCTGCTCGATTTGGGGATGGGTGGGATGGGTCGGCACCTGGAGCACGACCGGTCCACCAGATTTGATCAGCCGCGAGTCCGACCACAGACCGGAGATCAGAAACCGTGAGGCCTTTGATCAGCACTGCCGACCCATGTCCTCAGTGCGAGAGCGCAAGGACGGGACGGGTGAAGGGCCAGTCATCAATCATTGCTTGACTTCTTGGCTTTTGAGCTTCCATATTACAATACATATATATAATATATATATACTGCAACTATATATGACACCGCATGGCTAGAGGAAATATGAGGTAATGATATTCAGCATTCCAGCACCGACCAACCCAACAACTAGTAACTGTAGTTTGAGCAACACATGGCTTTTTCCGTGGCTTTTTCTCCGTCCTCCACGCACCGGCCGCAAGTGCCGCGCTTGTACGGCACGCGCACGCGCTAACGTACGGCACGCAGGACAAGACCTTGGTGGACTCTCTCCGAAACCGGGGAGGTGCGACCCGGTCGCGCCCCTCCGACGAACGGTCGTGCAATCAAAACCGACCCGTTCGGAGATCCTGAAGCGGAGTTCTCCCGTTGAAGTTCAAGAAGGAAGGCCTTAAGACGGTCCAAAACTCCTAAACCATGAGCATGTATCATGGTTTAGGGCAGAGTGGAGGGATCCTCATGTTGAATCAGAAGGAAATCGCTTAAAACATCTTAAAACTCTCCTTTCCAGAGCGACACCAACACCATCTGACACCCACCTCCAACACAGGGACATGCTGATTCTACAAATGCACAAGGTGAATCATTTAGTATCACAACCACACGGTGTCTTGGGATGTTTGGCCAATTCTTGGTGGTGACCCTATCTCTGAAGAAACGACATTGTCCCACAGAGTCAATGAAAGCATCGTGTTTTTTGGGGTTATGCATCGCTTGCCATTTTCAGCGGGGTTTTGTATCCTCATGGTTGGGATATAGTGCCTGCAAAAAGGGCGGGTCATCCTGTTAGATGTAGGGAGTGCTGACACATTATTTGTTCCTTCACGTATTCACCAATCATGACTATCACTCAATTCACACCTAAACAAAGTGCCAATATCATATACTAGTACAGGCCCTAATTAATGGATCAAGGTTTCAATGGCTTAGTCTTCGATCACCCTTGGGTCCTTGGGTAAGCAGTTTCAAGTGGCACCTGGACATCCAGAAAACTGGAAGTCTTTTGCTCTTGCGCACGCCATCGACATAAGTTTGTAGCCGCAGCACTGCCGAGCAGCCATGACCAGCCGACCCGGGGTGGCTGCGCTTTCTCTTTGGTTCGACCGTAGACCGGAGCTTGTTGGATTGGGGACCACATGCCACCACAACCCTGATGAAGAGCAGGACATTTTTTGGATATGTTGGTGTATTCCTTCAATGTATAGAAGGTATACTCCTTCATGTCCTGGTGTAATATACATGTTAAACAAAAACATGGACATCTTCATGTGTACTCCTTCAACGCTGGGTTTGACGTGAATTTACACCTCTTCAAGCCATGGTGGTAAGGACAATCGGCCACCTGCCCCTGCCAGCGTCCAGCGTGTACGCCGGTGGTGGTTCCGAGACTCGTTGCGCGCCACGTACGTTTCGCGCGGCGTGAGGCATTGTCATGGAGCCTGGTGACGAGACGAGAGCGGTGACGACCCTCTGAAGACGAAACGATCCTTTCGCCGGCAAAATGAATGGGATGGAGGCGGTGGGGATGGATTGGAAGAGATGGTTCATAGGATTGGACAGACCCTCAAACTCGAAGCCAGATGTGGGTTGCCATGGCATGTGAACACCCCGGTGCCTTGGTGAAGGTGGGGAGTACCACATCCACCATCCAGCCCTGCTAGACCATGAAGTATTCTCACCAGGTTTGTCAAGGGTTCCTGGCTGAAGAATATGATGGTTTTGATGTTCACCCAGCAGCAGAGCGCAGAGCCCCTCAGATTCATCCCAGCAATATCAATTGGCAAGCTCTTGACTTGCGAGGGCTCCCCAAGTCACCAGGTTTGGAGGATGAAATCGGATCCTCGGGGATCAGCAGAATCCACAGGAGATCGATCAGAAAAGCATTGGAACAAGTGGGCTCGATTCATCGGGGAAGTCCACAAGACGTGCTGTGACCCCAAGTCACTTCTAAAAGGTCTCATTTGGGTTTCCACGTGTGTGAAGCCCACTTGAAGCACGGTTTAGGGGGTTTAGGGTTTGCAGGGATTCTCGGTATAAATATAAAGATAAAGCTCTGATAACACGGGTCTCCACCTCTGGGAGAAAGTGACCCAGACTCCTCTATTCCACAGATGTTCCAGACTTTAGGAGAACACCCTTTGAACACTCCCGCAATGTTATTTTCCAGCTAGACCCTTGTCTGCAAAGCCCATGTCCTCTTCCAGACACCGCCTTCATAACTCACCGACTCAGCGATCTGCGACAAAAACCGGGTGACTTTCAGCTTGTTTGTTTCTACCGGTGCAGCTGGTCAGCTGGTGAAATGTTGTCTTGCCTGTTGCAACTGAGTCGCAACAGATTGGGAGTCTGCCATCAAGGGGATGTTCTGCCTGTGTCCCGCTGGTGGGTGAACCAAACCATTTGTCTGAACAGTTATTTTGAACTGCAGGCCAGACAGATCCTCCACACCGGATGTCCCTGAACATCAAGAAGTGGAAGTGTTTCCAGTGTGAAAACGAAACAAGTTCCACAAGACACTGTTCCACATCTACAGAATCACCTGGATGACTCCTTCCCAATGCAAAAGTGACTGAAACTTCTCCTTCCCAGCCTGTGGTCGCTTTGTGACGCGGTGACTCCCAGTAAATCTACCTGATCGACCACGCGCACAGCGACGGCCATCCGCAGATGCAGCGACATTGGCATAGATTCCAAGCTTTCTGCATGAAAGTGCAAGCAGCACCTGCCAAACACAATCACAGCATGCTCGGATTCCACTTCCATGGAAAATCCTACCTGTTGATGTAAAACAAACACGTTGAATTCCAGCCATGCCATGCAGGTAGTGGCAGCATGGCTTTTCGTTGCAAGGAGCGAAGATATGTTTCGACACGAAGCCTTCGGTGGATCAGCTTGATGAGTTGCTCTAATCCAAGCAGACTTACTCATGTTGGTCATGACACTCCCAAAGAACGATTGATGTACTGTGCCCACCCATTTCAGTCCAATTTTTGCGGCATTGTCGTAGTGTCATTAAAGGACGACCACACCACACACCTTGCAAGATCAACAGTTCAACCATACTCAACCATACTCAACCATCCTCAACAGCGAGACGAACAAGTGATTTCGCTCACTCCATACCACCCACGCCCTACTCTTCCACGCTCTCAGCACTCCTCTTCCACAAACACTCCTCGAGTTCTGTGTCTCTCCGGTGCTCCTTTCATGGGCCCACCTGTCCACCATGGCTGAGGAGGTGCGACAACGGACGGAATTTCGCAAATCGATCGATCCGCAGGGTGGATCTGGTGGCCAGCAATTGGCGATCGAATGGGTGGTACTGTCCGCATGAGTCTGGGTTTCATGGGGTTTGGCTTCTTGGGGCACCTTCTCTTAGAGCAACTTATACTGGTATTGTACCAACTTTGCAAGAGTTTGCACCTTGATGTTCAGAGGTTTTGCTTCCCAATCGGAGCGTGTAGGCGTGTAGGTGTCAATGACAAACATAAGCACAATTTGGGCTGGAATGGAGTTTTCTTTCACTCAGATGTTTAGAGCCAAGCAAGGTCCTTTTGTGAAGCTTTGTAACAAATGCATCGTTACCACCACACCAACTCGCGATCGATCCGTGTTCGCGCCTCAGGGTCCTTCCACATAATAGGCGGGGTACCCGAGGTAGGCTATGTAAAGAAAACACTATAAGTACAAAACATGCGAACCACCCAACAGCGTAAGCGGGTTGAGCCTCAGCCGCTTACATCAAGGTGAATTATGAATTGACAGCGTGCTCAATCCCTCAAGACGAAATTGCTAAGGTGTGTAATGGCCGTTTAAGACGAATGCATTTCTTGACCCTTTGGTACAAATTTTGGCTTTGACCAAAGGGTAGCGGCCTGTAGCATACGGTGTGCATTCAATTTGCCGAGGTTTTCAATCAGCGGCATTTCAAGACGAACGTTCAGCGGATAGGGTTGGTTAGCAAGGGAGGAATAGTTAGAGATGTTTTCCATAAGCATAGCCGCATCAGGAAAGGAAGGACGTGCAGAGACCCCCCCCAATCAGGCGTGGATGATACCCCAAACGAATCAGAGAGGAAGCTCCAGTCTTTTTGTATCTCGGGTAGAGTTGGCATTTTAACGCATTCTCCAAATACCTCACAACTGCACGTAAGTTGTTGGCTTGGTGCCAAATACTGCGAGCTTCCGGTTTTTGGATTTTTGCTTCAGGCGAGTCAAAAGCCGCGAGCAATGCGTGTTTCTTTCCACCTTGAAAAATCCAAATAGGTAAAGAACATCCAAAATACGTACACTGCATAATACATGGCCAATTCACACCATGTAATACGATCGTCTAGGGAGCTCGGGGTTCCTCCAATCAAAAAGCCGAAACAAATGCCACACTTTAAAGGCCACATCTGCCCCAGATGGGCAGGCTTGAGAAACGATTTCGGGCAAATCCACATCCATTTTCCAAATATTTGTTCCAACATCCCAAGAGCTCAATGCATCGTTACCACCAAAACGACGGACAAGAATAACAAATTTGTAGCGTAGTTTGGATATTTAATACTATTTGCTTGCTGTGGACTTGCCACTTGGCAGCTAAAAAGTGGAATCTTTTATTTTTTGCTTTATGTGTTACTTCCTCACAGGCTCGCAGAGAGCCGAGAGCCTGTTGATTTATGGATGACAAAGATAGACCAGCTCACAACTTCTATCTATTTGGATCAAGCTACTGTTGAAAGCACCAGTTGGAGCTCGAGTGTTCGTGACGCTGACTGATGTGCAGAAAGGGGAGATCTCCACTTCAGATGTGGAGTCGTAAACGCTTGGGAGCCTCAAACTCAACAAGCTTTGGGAGCCCACCCATGTCATTGAAATGGGTGTGAATTTCACATTCCGGGAGACCTCCAAAAAACACCTTCTTTCCAGAAGGAGAATGTCTAGTCTACCCATTGGTTGGGAGGACCCCCCCCCTAAGAGTTAAGTTGACCAGCTCGCGTACCTCAGTCATGCATCTCCCCACACGGGGGGCGATCGTCACCTCGACCGATTTATGACGCCCCCGAAGTAGCAGGCGGACGAGGAAGAGGATGTGGAGCAGGGACCAAGTGCTGAAGTAGCTCTTCCCCAGGTGGACATGGGGGAGGAAGATGGCCTCGACCGATTTATGACGCCCCCGAAGTAGCAGGCGGACGAGGAAGAGGATGTGGAGCAGGGACCAAGTGCTGAAGTAGCTCTTCCCCAGGTGGACATGGGGGAGGAAGATGTTTTTGTTGCCAGGCGCTGAACTGTTCCACTTCCAGGATTGTTTCAGGGAGTGTAACCAATTGCAGGAAATGATTGGCCTTTACATTCATGCATTTTCCAATGAAGCCTCATGACCCTGACTGTTGACGAGTTTCCCCAAGGCTCAAACCAAAGGACCGGTTGATCAGACCAGTGGAAGACAGTAACTGGCTGGCAAAGATGCACGGAGGGTCTGTCTATCAAGCCATATCAAGCCCAAACTTGCAGCTTCAGGTTTGATGATTTGCAGTATGTTGTTTTTTTTTGCCTGATCCCATTTGGCTGTGGGTCAAAACCCAGACCCCCCCCCCCTGCTGAGGGTAGCTTGACAGGTCGTCCGTTCATGTTCAGTCAAGTGAGGTACCCCTGTGCCATGACCCACACCCCATGTCTTATCCTCATTGACCTTTCGCACAGGGGAGACTCCGATCGATACACGTTACGCCGGTGGAACCGTAGCATCAGGTGCTTTTCGAGTCTGTTTGAGTCTGATTTCCATGTGGGAGGAAGAAGGGGCGAATGGCGAGCGATCTGCTCATGGCACGGAGGAAGATCACCTGAGTTCTTTGCCCCAATGGAGTGGCATTCGGCTAGAGTAGCCTGGTGTTTGAGCCTGATCAGTCGAAGTGAGAGCACGAGCAGTTCCAGGGTTTCGACCCATCTCATCTGTCTTTGGGTTCGTGACCGGACGTCCTTTCGGAATCAGAGCCTCCATGCACTGTGCGTTTGGTGTGACTCTTTTCGACCTCGATCCATTCGACGTGCACCCCAGTCATCGGCAGAACATCGGCAGGTCACGACGATTCCGTGGTCCAGTTCGTTGCTTCCACTGCCCGACCGATCTGCACACGGGCAGGTCACGACCACGACCTACCAGGGGTACCATGCCATCGGCGTCTGAGCAGCACGCAGCACGTGAGGAAGCGCCACAGGGGGTGTGTGCGGAAAAAGGCAAACTCCTGTCATCCTCTTTTTCAGAGGAGTGCTTGGTCAAGTGGGGAGTCCAGGTATCGGGTGGTGGCTCCTAATACCCACACCGCCCCGTTTCGATGCTGCCTTCGCTTCACATCAGGTTGCTTTGCTCTTCGCCATAATCTTGACTGAAACGACGGCCTGGAGGACGTAACTAAAGCCGTTCTAAATCCATTCTGGTAGGGGGAAGTGGAGTTTGTTTGAGGCATGGATCACCTGACTTGCTGGATCCACAAGGTATATATATATAGACATATATATAGAGGCTTCTTTTTGGTTGGGATCTACAACGCTTTGACGATGCCGCAGATTGAGAAGTGAAGCACAGCCCTTCTGCCGCTAATGTTACATGATGATGTTGGCTCAGTAATTTCCTGCAGGGGTTGAGCAAACATATCGCATCCATTCGCATCCTAGCC